CATACCAAAGGAATTACCAGAGAGCAGCTTCAAACCATCAAAAACAATTACCAGAGAACAGCTCCAAATTCACCAAAAAAAATTACCAGGTCACAACTCCAAACCCACTGAAAAAATTACAAGAGAAAAGCTCCAAGCTTGTCGAATGAAATGCCAGAGAACAGCTCCAAATCTGGCGAATTACCAGAGAAAGCTCCAAACCCGGTAAAGAAACTAGAAACTAAGCCAAATTAGAGTAGGTTTCGTGGTGGAGAACTACTAAAGAACAGCTCCAAACCCAGCGAAGAAAATTACCAGAGAACAGCTTCAAAATTTCTAAAAAACCTACCAGAGAACAACTCCAAATCTGGTGAAGAAAATTACAAGAGAAAATCTCCAAACCCGGCAAAGAAACTAGAAGCTGAAGCCGAATTAGAGTAGGTTTCTTAGTAGAAAACTACCAGATAATAGCTCCAAACCAGTAAAGAATATTTCACCAAAATTTCTAAGAAACCTATCAGGGAATAGCTTCAAACCCAGCGAAGAAAATTATCAGAAATCAGAAACCTACCAGAGAACAGTTCCAAATCTGGCAAAGAAATTGCTAAAGAAAGCTCCAAACCTGGCGAAGAAAATTACCAAAAAAAAGCCCAAACCTGGTGAAGAGGCTAGAAACTAAACTGAATTAGAGTAGGTTTCGTGATAGAAAACTACTCCATACCCAGTGAAGAGAACAGCTCCAAACCCGGCAAAGAAAATTATGAAAGAAACCCGGCGAAGAAAATAGAAGCTGAAGCCGAATTAGAGTAGATTTCTTAGTAGAAAACTACCAGATAATAGCTCCAAACCAGTGAAAAAATTTCATCAAAATTTCTAAGAAAGCTATCAGGGAATAGCTCCAAACCCAGCAAAGAAAAGTATCAGAGATCAGAGACCTACCAGAGAACAGTTTCAAATCTGGTGAAGAAATTGCTAGAGGAAGCTCCAAACCCAGCAAAGAAAATTACTAAAAAAAAGCCCCAAACCTGGTGAAGAGGCTAGAAACTAAACTGAATTAGAGTAGGTTTCGTGGTAGAAAACTTCTCCAAACCTAGCGAAGAGAACAGCTCTAAACCCTGAAAGAAAATAGAAGCTGAAGCCGAATTAGAGTAAGTTTCTTAGTAGAAAACTATCAGATAATAGCTCCAAACCCGGTGAGAAAAATTTCTATACCTGCGAAGAAATTACCAGAGAACAACTTCAAACCCAGCGAAAAAAATAATCAAAGAACAGCTCCAAGCCTAATGAAGAAACTTAATAGAAGCTAAGGCTGAAGCAAAGTAGGTTTCTTAGTAGAAAACTACCAGAGAACAGCTTCAAAATACCAAAGAGAACTACCAGAGAATATCCAAATACCTAAGAAACCTACCAGTGAACAGCTTCAAAACGTTCAAAGAGAACTGCTGGAGAACAACTCCAAAACGGCGAAGAAAACAACATGAAATTCCGAAAAGAGCTCTTCGACATTTTGGAGCCTTTCTTTGATAGATTTGCCAGAAAACTACCAGAGAACAGCTCCAAAACGTCGAAGAGATTTCTAAAAACGCTTAAAAAATTAAAGCAAAAAAATTAACAAACCGATTTACAATTTAAAAAAAAAAATAAAAGATATTAAATAAGGCCATACAAAGTTAATTTTTTGGTTCTCATAATATAAAACTTTAAAAATAATCTGGCAACCCAGCTTTTAATTTATTTTCAAAAAATTTTATATACAAAAAACATATAAAATTTTTTTTATAGACCTCTAAAAGGTCTAAATATAGTC